CGACATCCGATTGTGCGAATAGAGAGGAGATCTACGCCATGGTCAGGGGTGGGAGGGAGGGAAAAGACGCCAGGTATGACGCGAGCGCACCTAGCTTGCCTCCTCCCCCTCCCCACTCTCCCGCCCTCTCCTCATCCCGTCCTCCGCTCATCCCCTCGTCCTGCTCCTGCTCTCGCGGTGTCCCAGAGTCCGGGAGGCCTCGGGGAGGCCCCTGGAGGCCGTTGGGAGGCATCGGGTGCTGTTGGGGGCTTCGGTGATCTTCAGAGTTGTTCGTTTCGGTACGGAAGGTTCAGGAGGCGATGGCGCGCCGGCGACGCCAGCGAATGCGTTCAAGGTTGAATTCCGCGACGCGGAATCACCGAGAGTCACGGTGACGGCACTGGACCCGACGTAATTCATCTTTGATCGATTGGGGCCGCGATCGATTCAAGGTTGAACGATTGACGCCGCACGCGTGCCGAAGCCGTACGAACCTACTGTATCCCTGCGTCGGTGGCCTCATGGGGCTCTCAGGGGATATTCAGAACCCCCCTCTCTGCACGTTGCATCTTTTGGGGCCCTTATCCATCTTGTAAACTGATGCATATTATGTTGGCCGACGCGGGCTCTACGTGGATTACGCGCAGGTTCGGCATGGGCTCGATGCGGATTCGACCTGAGTTCGACATGTATTCGACCTTCGACATAGGTCTGACATATGACATGCACCTGACGCGGATAACCTCGCGATAGAAGAGACTTCGGTAGCAAGTCAGTGGGGCCCTGCAGGTCTTCGGAATTCCGCAGCGGCGGCGGAGGGAGGAGGAGGCAGCTGCAGACGGGCCGCTGCAGGGCGACCCCCTGCCGCCCGCCCCCCCCCCCGGCCTGGCCTGCGCGCGCGCGCCCTGTGGAGGCATCCGCCCGCCGTGCCCGCCCCGGCGCAGCTTGCCCGCGCGGGCCCGCGCGACGCCGGCGCGGGCGCGCTGCTGGCAGCAGGCCGGGCGGGCGGATCGGGGACGTTGGCCGGAGGTGGAGGAGGAGGAGGAGGTGGAGGAGGACGACGACGACGACGACGTCAAGCAGCAGCGAGGGGAGCGAGGAGAGGATGGCGTGAAGGAGTTTTGGAACCAGGAGGGCGGCGGAGGAGGCGTCGGGTGGAGGGCGGGGAGGAGGGCGAACGGATGAGGGCCCACCTTCTCCTCCTCCTCCTCCTCCTCCTCTCCTCCTTCCTCCTCTCCTCCTCCTCCTCCCTCCCTCCTCGTCCGTATTCCTCCTCCTTTTCTCTGCCTCTCCCCTCCTTTTCCTCCTTTCCCCTCCTTCTCCTTCCTCTTTCCGGTACTCCTTTTCTCCCCTCTCCTCTCCCTCTCCTTCTTTTCCCTCCCTGTTCTGTCTTTCCTACCTCCCTGGCCCTTTTATGTCCCGAAGAAAAGCCTCCTCCTCCTCCTCCTCCTCAGCCGCGCCCTTCTTGCTTCCTGCAGTGCCCAATGGGGCCCCGTCGTGTCTCTCGTCAGCCTCCGACCGCGGCGTGGTGCCGCGCCGCTGCGACCAAAGAAGTTTCGGCCGTGGCCCCGTCGTCTTCGTCGTCGTCGTCCTTGTCCTCGACCTCGACCTCGTCCTCGTCGCCGTCGCCGTCGCCGTCGCCGTCGTCGTCGTCCTCCTCCTCCTCCTCCTCGCTGCCCACTGCGAGGCGCCGTCGGTTCGGCAGCGGCGCTCGCTGGCCTCTCGCGCCGCCGCCGCGGCGGCAGGTCCGGAGGCGCCCCGTGCTCGATACGCGCGGGGGGCGGGCAGTGCGGCGGGGGAGGGCGCTTGCCCGCCGACTCGGCCTGCGCGCACCGTGCGGCAGGGTCGCGCGAGCCGATGGCGCGCCAGCGGCGGCGAAGGTGGACTGCGCACGACAGAACTCGGGTATACACCTTAGGCGATGCTTAAGAAAACCTAAGTTTTCGGCCAGAGCCTCGATTATTCTTAGCGTTTCCATGTAAATATTCAGGTTTTAATGGAAACGTTGGGTTGTTATTCAAGTTCTGAGACTATGAATTTCTTAACCCATGATTTCTTAAGCATTTCGCAGGGTGTAGCCAGGACCCCGGGTAAGGGGCCACGGTTAGTGGTAGGGCCCTGGGGCCCCTCAATCGGCCAGATTCACATTTCACCAGGTTTGCCGTAACCGGTGATTTTCGGGTGGCGGCAGTTCCGCTCCGCGGAATTTGGCGGGGGGGGCGCCCCCGGGTACGTATTACTAAGCCAGGTTCCACCAAGCCCAGTTCTGCCAACGCCCGAAGAACGACGCTGAAGCACCGAGGGGCACGGTAACGCCACAGGGCCCGACGGAGTCCAATCTGGAGCGATCGGGGTCGCGACCGGGTTCGACGTTGCCAAAGTGGCGCGGTGCCAAGAAGTATTCTTCGCGCGCCGACGCTGCGCGAAGCTACCGTTCAGTCGGGCCTGTCCCTCTACAGGGGGGATCTTCAAGAATAGTCCGAAGATAGTCCGGGGACTATTTGTTGATTATTCCCTGACCAGTTTGGAGGATTTTTTGGCGGATTTTTATTTTTGCCGTTCAAAATCCCCCTGTAGGGGACAGGCCCGACCGAAACCTGCCGTGCCGCGTTGGCCTCCCCCCAAAGGAGTCGTCGGCCTTCGAGGCCCCGGAGTGGTGCGGTGCAGAGAGCTCGTTGGCCCTCGGGGCCGACAGACTGCGCATGCACCGCACCGCGCCGGCGCGGGGCCGGATGGCAACCCAAGCCTTGGCATCGCTCGGCCGTGTGCATTTTTTCTCGGCGAGGACCATCGAAGAGCATCCTAGATCATCGAGCAAAAAAGAGCACGTACGAAGCAGAACAATGCACGGGAAATGGACGTCCAAGCGATGACGAGAAGCGCGGTGCGGGTCATCGTCGTTGTGTTCGTAGTGTTTGAGAAGTCTCAAGTCGGGCCCGTCCCTCTACAGGAGGAATATGCAAAACTTGTAAAAAACAAAATAGTATGGGAACTATTTTTGATTTGTTGTTTTAAAAACCATTTGGGAGTTTTTGTTGAATATCTTTCATTTTTCGTAGAAGAAAACCTGCAGGGGGACACGCCCGACTTCAGATAAGTCCTCACGCCTGGACAGCAGTCCAAGCGCGGTGCGGTGCATTGTCGTTGTTTTCGCAGTTTCTGAGTTTCGAGCACCAACAAAAAAAGCCGAAGCTCGAGGGTTTTCACGTGTCGTGCCCTGGGAGACACTCGCCCGACACCGTTTCGACACTCGTTCGACACTCTTTCGACACTTTTCCGGGTGCTCGAAATCATTCCTGGGATGTGGTCCTCAAGTAGGACGGGAACAACATAAGCCTGGAGACTATTTATTGCTGATCCGCCTTTTCAGGTGCGCCCTGTTTTTCAAACTGAAGTGCCCCCCGCCCCCCGCGGGCGGGTTTCGCGTTCGGTGCTTTTGCAGGGGACGTCTAGAGGCCGAAACTCCGGTGCTGGCCCCTGGTCTAGAGTGAGGTTGGGGAGGATGTTGTTGTTGAAGTCTCATGTCTGAACCCGTCGGTCGCTGAACGTTTATTATGTTGATTCCCAAGCTCCAATCTGTTTTAGGCACCTTCGTGCTTCAAGGGTCAAGTGGGCGGGCAGAGATCCAATCTACTCACAATGCTTTCCTTCTTCGTGTTGCTAGCATCTTCCTCCGACCGAGATGTATTGGTGACCCCCCTTTTTGATGCACCAAGTGTTGTCTTAATCGAAGCGTCCCCCCCAGGGCTCGCACCCGTTCTGGTTCGAACAGCGAGCCCCTGTTCTACAACAGAAGCGGTCCCCGCTGGATAATCTCTTACAGGTCATGCAACATCCCGTCCCCGCGCCTCACGTCTCCACAGGTTACCCAGGAATCGCGGTGTCCTTCGGGACCCCCTCCGCAGAGCTGTTGAGGCGCCGCGCCCTCGGCTTCCAGGACTCGCGCGCTCGCGGGAGAACTTTCCGCACAGTGCATCTGGGCCCGTGCTCTCGCCCGAGGTCCCGTCGCAGTTTCCAGCAAGTCAGGTGCCGCGCACCGCCCGCCCGACCCGCTCGCTCGATCGAGGCTCGTCGATCGCCCGTCCGACCCGCTCGCTCGATCGAGGCCCGCTCGCTCGCTCGCGGGTCTGCCGCCCGTCGAGGGTCGGCTCGCCCGATCTGCCCGTCGGGGTCCCCCCGCCGCGCAACTCGAGGCCTCCCCAGCGGGGTCCGAGCAGGTGGGGTCGGAGGAGGATCCTCCGAGGATCGCGTCGAGGCATCGGCGATGTGGTTCGATGCGGAGCTCGATTTCTCTATATGGACCGAGGAGGCCCGCCGGTCCGCCCGTCCGCGCGTGTTTGGAAGCCCTCCTGGCCTGCCTGCTTCACTGAAGGACCGGCGCTGGGCCGCAGAGCTCCCCCGGCACGGGGCCCATTCCGATCCGCGCGATCCGACCTGATATCTCGGCATCGTTTAACCAATCCCCATCCCCATCCCCATCCCCTTCGAGACCCCCACCAAATTACCCCCCCAGTTGGGGATACACCCCTCGAAACCCGATGGGAACGACCTATGCCCCCTTCTAGGGGGGTAAGTCGGCCAGTGGGGCCCAGGCCACGCCGCTGGGGATGGGGATCGGTTAAACGATACTCAATATCGGTTCCGGTTGGCCCGGTCCGATTCGGGCAGTCCTCGGGGGCGGAAAAGAGGGGGGTGATGGCTAGGGGGGGCGGATATCACGGCGGGGGCCACGACATGTCCCCAGATTTTATTATGGCGCCTCTTCCTATTCCCTCACGCCCCTGGCCCCCCCGCCGGGCCGCGCACACGCCGCCGGTCATGGTTTGCACCCCCCCCCCCCTCGTGGACACCCCCCTCCTGGCCGCTGCCGAACTCCTGCGTGGCCCGATGCCTCCACGGCGCGGCTGCGGTCCCTGGCGCGGCCGATCCGGTTCGATGTTTCGGCTCCGTGCCGAGGAGGCCCCGATCCGACGCGCATTTCGACTCGACCTCCTCCTCCTCCTCCTCCTCCTCCTCCTCCTCCTCCTCCTCCTTTTCCTCCTTTTCCTCCTCCTCCTCCTCCTCCTCGTCCTCCTCCCCCTCCTCCTCCTCCTCCTCGACTCGATCTGGTCTCCCGATTTTGATTCTGACCCCAGGGGGTGGAGCGCCGTCCCTGACCTTCCAGAGTGCTGAAGAGGAGCCCTCCAGACCTATAGCCCTCTCTGGAGACTGTTTAACAGGACCTCGCCTGGAGTCTGGATGTCGAGGTCCTGGTGCCCTGCTTTGGTGCTTCGGCCCTCCTGGAAGGTCAGGGAAGGTCTCCCCTCGGGGGCAGGAAGGCCAGGTGGGCTTGGCATCGCTCGGACGTGTGCATTTTTCCTCCGGCGAGGACCATCGAGGAGCATCCTTGATCATGTGGCGAAGAAGCCACGCACGAAGCCGAACAACACACAGGGAATGGACGTCCGAGCGGGGGCCTTGCCCCTGCGATTGCCGTCGTGTCTGTTGCTCGGGTGCTCGAGCGTGGAGCACACGCGAGGCGGTCCTTGGCTCGGGGGCGGCCTCCACCGGCCGTGGGTGCTCGTTTGGGGGGACCTTCCTGGGGCCCACCCAACGGATCAGTTCGACTCCAGCTCGACGCAGGCTCGACTCACATTCGACTCGGGTTCGGCTCGGGTTCGGCTCCAGTTCGGCTCAGGTTCGGATCGGGTTCGGCTCGGGTTCGACTCGAGTCGACGGACGGTCGACGCGCTTCGACGCACGAGTGCAGCGAGTGGCTCCAAGAATGTCCCCAGAAGGAGCATCTAACCCAGCAAGCCACCCCCCTCCGTGACGTTCCCGTCGCCTCGCCCAAAGTATAAGCGTTCGGCCGCATTATTGTTCGGGCGCTTGAGCGTGGAGCACGTGAGTCAAGAGGGAAAAAAACACACAGACACAATTAATCGTCGAGTCCCAGGAAAATATGGGAAAATATGGGAAGTGGGGGGGAAGACAGAAACCCAGAACATATGGGAAAATATGGGGGATCATTTTATTTGTGTGTATTTATTTGTATGTTCTTGGGCCCCTTCAGTGAGACTGCCCTTGGCTCAGGGGCGGCCTAGCCGACCCCGGGCAGGCCGTCCCCTGCCGTGCCGTCCCCCCCCGCCTCGCCCCAGGACGTACGTGTTTTCGGCCGTGCGATTGCGTGGGCGCACGAGCGTGGAGCACGCGGGAGGCTGCCCTTGGATCGGGGGGCGGCCCAACTCTACACCTTAGGCGATGCTTAAGACAACCTAAGTTTTCGGCCAGAGTCTTGATTATTCTTAACGTTTCAATGTAAATCCCAAGATTTTGATAGAAGTTCTGGGTTTTTATTCCAGTTCTGAGACTCTGAATTTCTTAACCCATGGTTTCTAAAGCATTTCGCAGGGTGTAGGCCTCCAAGATGAGGTCGGAGCAGACGGAGCATAAGGCCGCATCAGCGGTGCGTCGGCGATGCGGCTCGATGGTAGGCCCAGCTTGCCCCACGCCGACGTCGCCGATGAGTCGCCGACGTCGCCGATGCATCGCCTGACATGTGGGCCTTGCCTGGAGTTCCCGGTCAGGCCACGGAACGTGTGACGGGTGTGACGTGCCGAAGTGAGGCGGCGGCGCCTTGCGACGGCTGGCGTGTGGGCCTCAGTTGGAAGCTCCCCACGGGGCGGCGAAGCGCGCGAGGGGTGTGACGCGGAGGCCAGGATCGGGAGTGGGGTCTGGGGAGAAGGAGAGGAGGGAGAGAGGGCGCGGGCGCCGTCCCTTCGAAACGGCGACCCGACACGCTACAGGCTACAGGGACAACGTGGGCCCCTGATCCAGGCTCTGACGGCCAGACGGCCTCTGGCCTGGGCGCTCCGGCCTGCCGCCGCGGCGGCCTCGAGGCTCTCCGCGCGCGCGCGCCACGTGCGCGCGCATGCGCGCGCCGGCGGCAAGGCGACCTGCGGCCGCGGGGGCGAGGGCTCCGGAGCCCGAGGCGCCGCAGCGGCGCCCTCGGCCGGCATCGGCGGCCCCCGGCTCCGTGCCCTGCGGCGTTGCATTTTCGGGGGGGGCCCTGCCCGTCTCGGGCCGGACGACAGGGGGGGATTGGGAAAGCGGGGGGGTACGAAATTGCTGCATGCAGCTGGTTTCGGCCTCACCGAGGGCCCATTCCTCGATACATAGCCGCCTCTGGCGCCGGGAGGCGCCGGGAAAATCAGCTGCGTTAGCTGATTCTCACCCCCCCCCCCTTGCTATCCCCCCCTTTCGCCCGACCCGACCGTCCCGTAGTTGGCTGTATCTGCGGGTGCCCGGCGCGGGCTCTGAGCGGCGACGCAGGTTCTCGGGCGAAGAGAACTATGCACATGCACCGATCCTGGCAAGGCCCATCTTTGACCCAGGATCGGTGCATATGCCTTCCTGGCCAAGGTAGGAGGGCGTATGCACCGATCCTGGGCTCAGGATGGGCCTGGCCAGAATCGGTGCATGTGCATAGTTCTTTTTCCTCTAGGTTCAACACATGGATTCAACGGGGATTCGATGTTCCGCGTGAATTCGGCATGTATTCGACGCGGACTGCTCGGCGGCAGGACAGGCGAGGTCCCCCGAGTGTGCAACAGAAGCCCCCGCGCCTCGACAATTCAGCACTGTTTCGGACCTCGGCGATTTCGCAGTGCTCTGGGCCCCAGGACCCTCGTGGATCGATCTGGCCAGAAAAATAGAAATTTGGTCGGGGGCTCCAGTCGTGAGGTTTCGCGATGTCGCACTTTTGCGCCGTATGCCGATCTCGCTGCTCGTCCTGGAGAGCCCTCGCCGCCACG